AGGTTTCATGCTCTGGAGAGGACACTCCTCAATTCAGAGCATGTTACCATAGTCTCTAAAGACTGAAGGATGATTATGCTAGATATGCTAACACGCAACCAAATACGTTTCTTAAAATTATTTGTTCTGCCGACCAATGTTAAATGACGTCTTCTATTCTGCTAATATGATCCGAGCTAGACTACATATTATGCTATGCTTGTCTTGAGCTTTCAGGTGTTTACCCACTCATCTCCTTTGCTTATGCCTATCATAGATCCTTCAGGTAAACCTTTTAAAGGTTATTACCCCTTTTTGTATGTTCTGCTTCTTCTGAACTTATCCTCTTCTGGAGTAGAGTTGTTTCATTTCCTATGCCCTCAGGACAAGTTATCATCCACAGGGGTTTTCTACCTTCCTAGAGGCTTGTGTCCTGAGTACACTCCTATACTGCAGTGAGTCCCGGACCCTTCATGCACAGCAGGAGAGGAAGCTGAACATGTTCCATATGTGTTGTCTCCGACACATTTTTGGTATCACCTTGCAGGACAAAGTTCCAAATAGAGTAGTCCTGGAATGAGTTGGAATTGTTAGCATGTATGCGTTACTGATGTCAATATGAGTCCAAGGCAGACCTTTCAAGATCACAATAATCCAAGTTTATGCACCAGCCACCATTGCTGAGGAGACTGAAATTGAACAATTTTATGAAGATTTACAACACCTTCTAGAACTGACAACAAAGAAAGATGTTCTTCTCATTCTAGGGGACAGGAATGCTAAAGTAGGGAGCCAAGAGATAAAAGTTTGGCCTTGGAGTTCAGAATGAAGCAGGAAAAAGGCTAATAGAGTTTTGTCAAGAGAATAAGCTGGTCATCACAAACACTCTTTTCCAACAACACAAGAGGCGACTCTATACATGGAAATCACCAGATGGGCAATATCGAAATCAATATGATTATATTCTCTGCAGCCAAAGATGGAGAAGCTCTATACAATGGGGTCTTGACTTGAGAGTCCGTATTGGAAGGCGGTTCTCAAGTCAAAAAGTTCTCAGGTCAAATCTGCGTTTCCCATAGGAATGCATTGAAAACCATTTGATCCGTATCTGCTCTTTTCCATCCATAGAAACTAATGGGAAGCTGCTATTCTGCCTTCGACCACTAGAGGGGGATATTTTGTTTCTTTTTTTCTTAGGTCAAGAAAGGTTCAGGGAAGGCAGGGAAAATACAGTCCAGGCAGTACCAGGCAGTCTGAAGACTGTCTCCCAATCCACTCTCTAAACGCTGGGAGGAGTGAGGAAGCAGACAGGCACCCTTTTCACTGGCCAACAGTTAACTGAAAGTTCACATTTTGCACTTTCCCTGCCTCCCACGTGGGTTTTTTTCAGTTCTTAACTCAAATCTAAGTACTTAAGTCAAGTCAATATTTTCCTATGAGAGTGGTTCTTAAGTCAAAATGTTCTTAACTCGAGCCGTTCTTAAGTCAAGACCCCACTGTA